CATCACTATCGCCTTCTTAGTGTTGCCGCAGTGAATGTCTCTGTAAAGCTGCTGTGCACAGTTGTGATTTGCCAATGTCTTAAAGACATAAATTAATAATTGAGAACTGATATAATTATCAGTGAGAGCACATTTCACATTAACAATGCATGCTGATGTTGTCTTCCTTGGATCAGAAACCCTTCCTCGCCGTGTCTCTCTCTCTACAAGGAAACAGTCCAGACAGTTCCAGTTACACCATCAGATCGAATGGTCAACTGGTGTGGTTTTTTTTAAGACCAGTGAGTGGAAAATGTCAAAAGCCACAGATCATTAGATCATTGTTTTGATGAATTCCTCCTTAAACTATTACTCCTAGGTTTGTTCCAGTTCAAGACATTAGCATGATGCAAAGATGACCCTTTTGTTTGTGACATAAGAGTTACTTTCTAAATGTTTGGGAGCAGATACTACCACTGTGTCTGAGAAAATGATAATTAAAAAAATAATAATCTTTTTTCACATGTACTTTTTCCTCTGATTTTAATATACCCAAACGTGTAAAACATTGCTCCAGTTGAAACCCTCTCTTCTACCGCAACCTTAGCTGAGACAAAAGTGACTAACTATGGAAATTAAAAAAATAATCACTGTTTCTTTGTTGTACATTTCATATGATTGGACAATTATACATTTATTTTTTCTTATGGTGATTCTACATTGTAACTTTGAGTTTGGGTTTATTTATTTATCGAGTTATAAAACTCTAGAAAGAGAACTTCAACTTGATGTTTCATTAGTTGTATTGAAGCTCTCGGTCATCAACAACCACTGAAAATCCATCGTACTTAACTTTGCCTCACAAAATATACCAAAAGGTCTAATCCCACCTAAAAGCTCTTATCATTTGATAAGGAGATATGTTGAAGTTTTCTAGCAGGGCTAAGCGTCTGGATAACTAAATACATCATCATGCTTTATCCACAAATATATATTTGCTGAAAGGCTCAGCAAACTACTTCTAACTACTTGGATTTTACACACACAAACCCACTCACCAAGGCCCCCCGCTCCAAGGAAGATCCCTCCTACGGCATCAGCATCACACTCCCTGGACACCCCAATGATGATGCAGCCTGCCACAATGCTGAGCAGGGCAGAGCCCACCCGCAGCCCGTGGTACTCCCCAACACTGACAGGGTTCATTCAGCAGGTGGAGGCCCCCCACCTGTCCTACACACACACACTAACAGCTTACTGCTGCCACTGGTAACTTTTACCATCAGCAGCACAAGCCTGGGCCTTCCCTTTTCTTTCACTCTCCCTGACACAGAAACACTTTCTCTAGCAGAGCATCATTCTCTAGACGTCTCATGCATGTTTAAAGACGCTGATCTGGTTTCCATCGCTTTTGAAAATTAGAAAGCTCGGGGCACTGACTCTTATATGACAGCGATACTGGTGCTACAAATCTAAACACAACCCTCTTCCTACCTGCATTGGTCTCAAGTATTAGGTACACAATGAATGCCTGGAGCATTACTTTGAGGGCAAAGGGTCCATGTGGGGATGCTGTCTGCTTCTCTGGGCAAAACAAAAACAGACCATTCCAGACCAGAATCTAAACTTGGAGGTTGTTTTGTTGACAGAGAAGCCAGAACTTCAACATGTTTCCTTAATGTCTGATGAGAAGGTCATTGTATTATTTAAATCAGTAAATATATTTCATATTGAACCTCAAGAATAACTAATTCACCAAATAGCTGTTAATATCAAACATAAAATGTTTATTTAAAGCAGCTGCAAGGAACTTTCATTTTGTGTGGATTTTGATGCCCCCTGTGGACAGAGTATGTAGTCCAACTTGTAATCCAAATTACGAAGCTCTGTAAATAATCCTTAAAAGTCTGTATCTTGTTGAGGTTGGTCATATCGAGTTTTCTGTGTTAAAAGTGGATTTTTGAAATCCTGATCATTCGTATCCAGATTAAACCTTTGAACAACTGGGCCCAGGATTTAAAGCTGACACAGCAGTATGAGTAAAGGGGCAGAGTGGCATAAAGAACATGGGGAAAGAAACTGTTATAGAGACAGAGTCAGAATATGTGCTACCTGAGTGATTTGTCTGTGAGCTTGAAGGGAGTCGGTAATGAAAGGTTCAGAGAGTCCTCTACAGTGGGGGCTCGAGGCCATCCATAACGGCCTGCAGTTGCCATAGGAATACCATATCCATGGCAACAGAGGGGAAAAAAGGTAAGCAGGATAAACACTCGCAAATAGGATAACAAATTAACTTATAGTGGGTAGAGGGAAAACAGTGACACATTTCCTGTTCAGTGGCTAAACTCTATCTAGAACAACATGTCTGCATTAATAATTAATAAATGTTGCTAATATGGTGTATGTGTGTCACTGTGTGTGCATGTGGGCGTGTGAGACATGCTAAGTCCATACTGAGTTATAGTCTTTGGCGCTTGTGACGCTCTAATGAAGCATGTCAGTATTTATTTAAGTATGCGTTCATTAACACACCTAATGGTTGGTTTCTATAATCCACCATAACCTTAAACTATGTGTTTGAGAGGCTGAGTCAGTTATTGCGCATGAAGCATGAACCACAATTTAAGTTTATGTAACTTATCTGTCTAACATCTCTGAGGTCTGTGTGACCTGTAAAGAAGTCTTGGAGATGTATTGAAAGCTAGAATATACCCAGAAGAAGTTAATGCTTCTTACTAGGGCTGGGAATCTTTGGGTGTCTCACGATTCGATTCGGTTCCGATTGTTGGGGTCACGATTCGATTCAGAATCGATTTTCGATTCAAAACGATTCTGGATTTTTTAAAATTAGTACATACTTCAGGATGTGCTCCAGTCATCTGTGAGCTAATAAAGGTGGTGTGGTATTGCATGAAAGTGTAAGATTATACAATTTTCATTATTTGAAAAGGTTTTATACTGATTGCAATAATAGAAACACGCAAAGGCAAATGTTAAGACCAAAGGTAACATTTATAATGCTCAACATGCCCAAACATTTTGTATTTCTCAATTCTCACTCAGTTAGTGGTTTTAAAAATAACAATAACTACTAAAATGGTATTGCATAAATTCAAATTGGCAGACTTAGGCTAGCGTACTTCGGCTCCGTTGTCTTAATCATAAATCTAAATCCTTTATTTTCGACCACGCTGTAGGGTCGTAGGTCCTTTGAGATGAAACAGCCGATGGATTTCGTGAGCTCTGAGCTAGCCGTGTTTAGCCGTGGTAGCTTGCTCTATGGAAGCTGCGTAGTGCTATGGAGAGACAAAAAAATAGATTTTGGGAAATTATGAATTGATTCATAATCGTGGAGGATAAGAATCTCGATTTTTACATGATTTTTTGTCCCACCTCTACTTCTCAAAACAAACTTTTGACATTCCTTATGCTGCATTATCTTTGTAAAATTAACAATCAAGCATCACTTATCTCCTAATATTTGTGCTCAATGAAACATGCATTAATAAGATATTTAAAATGAAACGACATTGTACAAAAATTAAATCTACAAAAATTTAATTTATCATCCTAGAGCTTAAACACTACAATGTATTATCTTTAGTTGTGTTCAAAGACAAAATAATTACAATTATAAATCAGAAAAACGTAAATTGTTGATATAAACACACACACACAACCGGACAATTTACCCTGACATTGTGCAATAATAATGTTATATTAATGTTATATTATGTTTATCAAACCACTTTGTGCAATAACATGTTACACTTTATGTGCACTGTGTGCATGTCTGTGTTACACTGAATATTACGGACTACACTTTTGTCAATAGCTGAGCTATTCTTTATTTTTTAAGTCTATTTTTTAGTATCTATTTTTTTGTACATTCTTAATTGTTCTTTTTATATTTAAATTGTACTGTGTTCACTTTTTGTTTGCAATCTTTGCTGCTGCAACACTGTAAATTTCCCCGTTGTGGGATAAATAAAGGATTATCTTATCTTCGATGTTGTTTCATTGTTATTTTATGTTTACCTTGTGATTTTATCTTGTATGGACAAAAGTAGTCTATTCCATAATCGCTTTTTTTTTTGTTAAAATTTCCTCTATAAATGTTTGCATACATGTTGCTGTCCTAAACGAAATACATAATTGTCGATAAAGAAGACAAAAACGTATGCGTTGGCCGGGAATCGAACCCGGGTCAACTGCTTGGAAGGCAGCTATGCTAACCACTATACCACCAACGCCTTGTGCAATCTCAAAGCGCCTGTGAATATCTAGTCAGAGCGACTACTATCCCATAATACACTCTTACAAGGTTTGTGACTTTTTCATGTCCCCTCCACAAGTTTCGGTCTGAAAACGTAAAAAAAAACTTTACAGCAAGAAGTGATACAGATGACTTCGCCTTCGACAAATCAACCGGCTGTGAAAAATGCCTACTGCTAGGGTTCCTTTCTTCGTACTGAGGTAGCAACAGCCGTCTGATTGGTCAGGGCAGGGCAGCGGGGGCGGGAGTTGATTATCATTCATTTTCGATTGGGTAAAACGTGGAGAGAAAGTCTCATTTGATTGGCCAGAGTTAAAAGGTTTTTATTGGTGAGGACAGTGGTCAGGAAGCAAAAATGTAACATACTGTAAATTTGTTTGATGGGAAGCAATATTCATGATCGAATCCTGCAAAGTAAAGGAAATATTGGAAGCACATTTTACGGAAAATTTGCGTCTCAGAATGAAAAACAATATGAAGCCATTAGAACACAAATTAAACTCGGCGATGCTAAATTATGTCAAACAGGTCGTGATTTAAAGATGCACTCATAAATCAACACGGCTCTATGTGCAATAATGGTGGATTGTAGTGTTAATGCCAATGTTAATAATGTAACTTTTATTTTGTACATGATCAGAATAATCAAAGGAATGTTTTCCCATAAAAAACACAACATAAAATTCCACAATTTCCAATGCAAACTCAATCAATCTTAACTAGATCCACCAAAGGTTCAGCAGAATATAAGAAAAATATTCTTCACTGTATTCTGTAATCTCTGTTTGATTATTCCTCTTTGCTTCTTTGCAGTTTAACTTCAGCCTGGTAGATATATCAGACTTGGTCGCAGAATTCATTTGTCACTGGAAGCAACCCTGAGAATCTGGAAGAGGCCGAGCAATGTTGTGGAAAGCCCACTGATAGATGCCGTCAATAGAGCCCTGCTGAGAAACAAAAAAACAGATCATTTGTTGCCAATTAAGCTAAATCCTGATGTGCTAAATATGTGTGATGTCATTGACAATTATGGCACAGCAAAAATCTGAACAAAATTCTCATGCAGACAAAAAGTGTTATCATGTTTTAGGAGTACATTTATGGATAACTTTCTACACTTTCCAAGATGCTATCAATGCTCCCCAGGCCTTCTTTTGTCAAAATATCTTGAAATAACTAAAAGAGTATAAGAGATTCCTGGGTTTGGTTTATATTACACATCCTGACAGCACATTGGAACCATCTTGCTTCTGAGCTGTTAATGGTTGTATTCATATCATGCCTACATAAAACCAAAACTCTACTCACGTCTCCCAGAATGGAGTCCAGTTCATCTTTATGGAGGTTGGGTTCAGAAACACAGGAGCTCTTATCAGGAGTGTATGTGCTTTGATCCACTAGGGAGAGCTATACATGGTCACAGGAGAGATTAAGCAGATTCCAACTCAATCATATTAACTTAATGAAGGTGTATTTATTATGTAAACAAAAAGGCTTTTTAAGCACACCTGTGGACTTTCTGCCTCCGTCCCTGCAGAGCCTCCCCAGACCCCGGAGCAGGACAAGCAGATGGATCTTCCTCTGACAAATATAAGCACACTTACTGAGATTGAGTCGGACTGTTCTGTTATATATAATGTTTCAGTCCATCAATATCGACATCAAATACTCAAGACAATTGTTGAGGAAGAACTTCAGACCATTTCAGGTGAGATGGAACCAGAGTTTTTACTAAAAAGGCATTAAAAAGTATTCAATTTAAGTTCTGTCTACCTATGCATATTTTGGTTTGTCTCTGCAACGAGAGACGCAGATAAGGTAGGTATAGCCTTTAGGTAGGTCAAAATAGTACAATTAGTCATGGTAGACAGCGGTGATTCTGGAGTCCTTTGGGGCCCTGGCAAAAATGAACTGGGGGCCCCTCAAACCCGTATTAATCACTATTATTTCTTCCAGTATCTCTTTCATTGACAAACTTTGGTTTTCATGCAACACTTAGTGGGGCCATGACTGAATGATGTAAGATGGGGCCCGCTTAGGGAGGTTTCCTACTGTCATTGCGAAATTTGCACATTTTGAGTCATTGATGTACTGTAGTTAAACGTTTATCAGTCCTCAGGAACGCCTTGCCTGTTGACAAGCAGTTCTTCTGCATAGATCACACTGAAGCTCATGATTAAGATTTGTCAGCTATGTGGAAGAAAATACGAGTCTGCAGCAGAACATACAGAGATAGAAGTATAGAGGAGTGGATGTCTTACTTGAAGAAGTGGCAATGCACATGGAAATGCTGCAAACACTGCAGGCATTGAGTGAGGTCTCCTCCTTCCAGGTGACAAACACCACACACCTCCCTCATATTGATCAGTTCTCCACCTGAGCACTGGATAAACATTATATATTTATATTAGCACGATGAAGTGACATGAAATTTTGCAAAACAACTAAAAGCAGATCTGTCAGTAAACAGGTAGAGGGAATCATCGAATCCTCACCTGGAGGTTTCTTCCACCGGATCCATTCATTGAAGCTGTGATAGGGGTGAGAGATGAGGATGACAGCGAGGAGAAGAAGGAGATGTCTACCATAGAGGTACTGGAGTTTGTATTTGTTTGCTGAGGCTGGGCAATGAGTGGCTGTGAGTATAAAGTTTTGTACTGATCAGTTAACATACGAGAAACAAAGATATTTGCAGATATTTGCTCAGAAAAAAGTTTTAATTAGCTTTATGAGTCTTTATGTAAGAGCATCAAATATATAAATACATTATTGATTTTTTTAAGCAAAGCACCTTTTGTAATAAAGATACTTACTTGCAGAGGTTGCTGTGTTTTCTCTATTTTCACTCTGTTTCCACAGCACCACTCGCACTGCCAAGGTCCACTGTAAATTTAATTCATGGTTTGGCATTAAATATGTCTTTACAGAGACAGTTACGTCATCCCTAAACACACCAGTGAATTTTATCCAAGTAGTCAAAAATTTGAAAAGTAAACATATCACAGTCTTAAATTGATCCAAAACAATAGTCCTACTTAAGTAAACGTACAAAAGTATTAGTAGCGATATTTTAGGAAATTAACTTAAAATATCCCAACTCACGTAATATGCAGAGTCACTCTTTTGACAGTGCTGTAATATGACAGAATATTCATTTTGTTTTTATTACTAACAAATACATGTTGGAGAATTTAAATGTTGCAGTTTTTAAATGTGGAGACAATTTAGGATCATTTGAATACCACTTGGCAGATCAGTAGTTCAAGTACTGCATTGCATCATAACAGTACATGTTAACTAAATGCAGTGGAGTTAGAAATAGATTTTTTAAAATCTCTAAAGTTACATTAAACTGGCAAAACCTAAGCAAAGCACAAGTAAGTTACAATTATATTTAAATTAAACTTGAGTAAATAAACATTAAGTAACATAGTGTGTTTTTTTCACCTTGGTATGGATGTGAGTGGAGGGTGGAGGCAGGTCAGGTGAAAAGCTCGAGGACATCCATCACAGCAGATCAGCTCTCCTCCATCCTTACACACTGCACACTCATCATCATTATAGTGAACCTGCTCAGAAAAAGAGCATGTTAGATACTGGTGCTTACATGCAAAAGGACAGACAGACTGGTACTGAGCTGATTCTTTACAGTGACTGAGTTTGTCTCCCCCTTGTGGTGAAATGTGTTCTTAGCAGCTTTATTTATCTCATCTGGCTCCCCTCCAACCTTGATGTGTTTTCTGGAGGATCCTGTTAAATCACAAACACTTTATATGAAGATGGTTTTATGGGTATTTGTGAAAATAAAAAAGACTCATCCAAAGCTATACCATTGGAGCCGAACACCTGTTGGATGAGGGTCTTCTCTCCAACCTCATGGCTGCTTAGTGGATCACCTGAGGAGGAGCTAGATAGAGCAACTGGTCTTTGGACTGAAGCACCTGAGGAAAAACAAAGGTTCATTGTGTCCACAGTATTCAAACATTATCTGTAAATTATTATTTATTTTTATTACTGTTTTTAGATGTTATCTGGGGGGCTGGTGCTTCATTCTTCACTCTGAATAACCTCACTTTACCCCCTGAAAAAACATAAAACATATTATCAGCACTAGCCCTTAGCCCTACAAATGTTGGGTGCTCAAGTTGTGCTAAAACAAAGGGGCTTGCTAACAGAAAAGTACAGGGCTTTTCCAATATGGCGTTCATTGACCTGACGTGTTTTAGCTTGTGTCCTCTTAAAAAAAGGAAGCTGTGCTTCAATTTGTTGCATAGCATCCATACCTGCACTCCTGCTGGTTACTCAATATAGAGAGGCTGAGCTGACCAACATTAGCTGTGGCTAATACATTTACTATTGACAAGTACCTCATTAAACCCCAGTTCAAAAATACCCTTTAAGGGGGTTGCAATGGCTACTGTATCTTTTGGAAGATATATTCAGAAGAGGTGTAACATGGGAAATAACCTGCTCCATTGCTTGTCTTGGCATGGTACTGTGGATGCTGACTGTGTGCCTTTGCGCCTCCATCTGTATGGCTCCTCTTCTTTATGTTCGCTGTTTTGTGGCCTCCAGAGGATTTTTTCTCACTACTGAAACCTGCAGCAACCCGTCCTGTCAACACAATGTCAGCAAAGACATAAAAACAGGGAATGTACTCAAAATATAAAAACATGAGTTGAAGTGAGGATCAACTTAATTCTTCATACTGACATATTCTACAAAACTTTGTCAATTTGTAGATTTCTGTACCATGTTGATTGCTCAGTGTGTTTCTCGACATATGATCCACTTGAATAGGAAATCAATTAAACAAGAAATGATGTGGTAGAGGTTTAAGGGTTATATGGTGGACATACGCAACTCCAGTCACACAGTCCACATAACATGTCTGTTTTTTTGTTACAGTTGAACAGACATGCTATAAATAATTGGGCAAAAATGGAACTCTACATACTCTGGTGCACATTTGTTAGCAGTGACTTTAGCTTGGTATAGCTTTCCAGATTGTAGTCTTTGGACAAATTGCTCCAGAAAGCCTTGATGGTGGATCTGCTCTGCTCCAGGACCCAGGACAGGAGCGAGTACATGGCCTTGTGGATCCCCTCTCTGCCCTCCTTCTCCAAAGTTTCCTTTAAAAAACACCAAGAGCTTTTTGAACTCTGCTGTCGAAACAAAACCACATGTTGCTACTATGTTCTAGTTTTAAGTTCAGGATAACATGAAGAAGAGGAACAGTGCAATCACACAAACCTTAAAAATAATGATTCTGATAACTTGTGCATTTTTGAATCGTTGGATGAAAAAAGTCCTACATTTCAATACAAAAGCTTATCAGGAGTTATGGAAAAGAAAGTAAATATCTGGCATTACCAATGAAACACCAAAGCAAACACTTAGTTCAGAGGCTTCTTCTTACCTTAAGTAGTTGATCAGTGATAATGTTTCTGTCAGCCAAACCAAAGACAAGAGGGAAAGCGTCATCTACTGCCATGGCAATATCGGTTCGTAACTCCCTCAGCAGGGAGCGAAGGTTTGTGTCCCCAAAAGCTTCCACTCTGGACATGATGCTGGGTATGTAAATGAAATCCAGAGTGGCCCAGACCAACCTTCATACCTGAGGTTTTGAGGACTTAAGAGGTGTGTCCTTGTAAGGGAAGTGAGTGTTGTACAGGTGCATTGCTTTATGTTTGTTCCTTTGTGTGTCATATGACTTGTCACGTCTTTCTCATAGTTTGGTGTTCTTCTTTAATCAACATCACTATGTTTAGCCGTGTCAGTCACTTTCAAACTCTGTATTGGATGTTTTTAACCTTCAGGTCATCCTTGACCTTCTGTCCCGGTGGAGTTTTTCTGTCCTCTAACAGCACCAACTGTCTCCGTCTGCCTGTTGATCCTCAGAGGGATCAAATGACGACTTGTCCTTAAAGGGGAATACCTGTCAGCTTACATCAGGAGAGCTGACAAAACTACCTGACAGGTCACAGTGACAGTTTTCTTCCTAAAAGGTTCTTTCCAAAACAACTTCCCCTTAACTAACATGTATTCAGACCCTGCCTCACCACTGGGAGATCAGATGTTGGAGCAGTGCACCGAAGGAAACCGAAACTGTAAATGATCATCTTAAAGACAGACGCATTAGGTGGGTTTTTTCAACAACAGTGTCAACAGAGGGCTTTTTCAGGCAATATTTCAATAACTTCCTTACTTACTAACTCTAAAACATTTGGAATTGAGATTTACTGGCACCTATTTCAAAAGGCTCAACATGACAGCTGAGGCCATGAACAGAACCTTTGTTAATCTATGATAAAACATTAATAACATGTAGGCTTATTAGTTCATAGTTTCGTAAATTATTTTGTAACATTTTCTGAAAGGCTTCTACAGTATTTTTGCCATGACATGTTACCAATTTGTTGCCTTGGTTGATCATTTGATTTGAGTTTTCTAAACACTGAAAAATGTTTTTACCATTCTGTTGCTCAAGCATATGCATTTAAAAAAAAGTCATGCTGTAATTCATTAGTTAAGAGGAGGCTTATCAGTAACGGCTAACAATTAGCTAGAAGATAAGTTCTATCAAGTCATAGAATATCTAAGGTTCGGGTACATTGTCTCTTAGCTGCCCTGCAAAGCTGTTCTGGGTCATCAACACTATGATGATTGTTCATCCAACATAAAAGATGGTTTATCCCAGCTCAGCAGAAAGAGAGAACATTGCACAGTTAGAAGACCAGTCTGATAAAGCTAATGATGTCTGATGAGACTGAACAGGGTTGAATCGTAGAATAAAAAAAAACATTACTGTTTTCTCAGTTATGTCACCCATTGGTTTCTGAAGAGCTATTTTGAAGTCCAATGATGGCAGACACCATATTGGAAATGCTATCTGAATCAAATGTTTGATGGATGACGTAACAGGCAAAGACGAAAAGTTGAGTTGGAAAAAAAATGAACCCCTTTACAGTGTGTACAAATAAAGACATGAGCTACTCAGACCAACATAATTTCACTACATATATCGGTTTTAACATGGGTGTTAAGAGGGCTTCCTGGTCTTTTAGAGCCAGCCTCAAGTAGACACTCAAGGAGATGCATATTTCTGCACTAATTTTTCAACATCCCAAGTAAATTTTGGACACAATACATCACAAAGATGAGTCGAGAACATTTTTTAGTGTAAAGAAAATATTTTAGCTAAATGCTAAGAAGGATGCTGTGTGGGTTCTTCCTCATTGTAAAAAGGCCACAGTCCTTCTTGTGCTGGTCAGAGGTTTGATTCCCGGTCCTGACGCTTGGTGCATGTCATCTCTCTCCATATTTAATGTTACCCCCTAACAATCCCATTGAATAAAGGCGAAATGCCCCAGGAAAATAATCTTAAACTGAGGGATCGATTCAACCTTTTCACTCAAATGTGTTGATTCTGAAGCTACATATGTTAAACAGCGTGTGACTTCACTCAGTTCAACCTCTGAACTCCTCAAAAACGAAGATATCAGATGAAAAAGACGATTCCTGCTAGCAGGTAAATGTTAATGGTTAGGAGAGTGAAGCCCTTTAATCTGTAATTTATTATTCATTAAACATTATTACATTATTCATACTGGTGAACAAGGACCACTTCTACAGAGGGACGTTCACAACATACATATTACATTATTATATACAGTGCAGTGCATTACAGTGGATTGTTATATGTGTATTACCGGGATGGAGGGATGGGGGACACTGGAAGGAGAGGAGGAGTTTAGAGGAAAGGAGGAAAGAGGAGGAGAGGAGTAGTTTGAGGAGGGAGAGTTGTGATAATAAGTTGTCTTTTTATTACTTCTTCTTTTTTGTTTTTACCACAGTACAGTTTGTTCTATAAAAGTTAAACCCATAGAGAGATAGAGTGCCACATTTTCACAGCTACTGTAAGGTGAACCTACTGAAAGTTGACTCTTGTGGGAATATCAAATGAGATACATTTTGTCATGAGATGCTATAGAGAGAGATGCTATAAAACATTCTAAGATAGTCAACCCGCTTCCAGAGTGTGGAGACCCTGGAGGGCAGGCCAAAGATCAGCGTGCATGCGTGCTGCAGACATTCAGACGTGTTCGGCCATCTACAAAAATGGCCGACCTCCACCACTATTTTTCCTTCCATGTTTAGGCATCATTTTTGGTGCTTTCCCTTTTTATATATAAAAAATACAAAACATAACAGCGAAAAGAATTCTGTTGGTTGTCCCGTTTTCTCCTTTTTCATTTTCCAAAACTGTTTTTTGTTAATTTTTTTATTTCAGCATGTGTTTTTGTTCGTTTTTTTGTTTCCCTTTTCTCCTCCAGTCACTTACATATTGACAAAGTATACAATATTTTACAACTGAACAAGACTGAAAGATAACATTTGATTTGTCCAATCAGATACAAGGCCCACATCCTATATCCAATTAGAGAAGTCAACTGGAAGCTAACCAGTAGTAAGCAACACAACAAGCCTATGGTGTGAAGGGAGCTGTCCGATTCCAGCTCTGCATTAACAGGAGCATCCGCCCTCGGGCACAGTGGGCTCTGCCGGTTTGTCCAGCTTGATGTCAATCACTGGGAATTATACAATTAAGAAAAAGGCAGGTAGCTGTGGAAAAGGTAGGATCTTGACTTGTTTCAATCACTGAAAATCTCTAAACCCAATGGTACTATGATAAACAAAGCTTGTAACAGAGGACCTGTGAGGCCACAGGTAGAAGGGCTTATTTAACAGGAATCATGCTGTTGCTTTTTATTCACATATTCAGTTTATTTATATCAATATTATTTGGTATATTATCTCAAAGTGTATTATCCCATTTTAAAATATTGGCCCTTTTAATCAGTCCCATCTTCTTTAAACCTTCTCAGTGCATGTCATTTCCCAGACAGCCATTAGGTGGTGCTCTACCTATGCATCCACAACACACTTCCTGGCACTGTGCTTTTGTCCTCTCTATTAAGCAAAAGGTTTAATGGCTGATGCTACTCAGTAGACAGTAGACTGGGCGGTCTGAGCTTGTGCCAACAACCACTAAGAGATTAAAAATAAGCTGCCCATTTCTTGGCTGCCTGGCTCTCTGCACAGTGAGTCACAGCTGCTGAAAAGGATACTGCCCTCAGGGTTTGCATCGTCCAAGCTTTCCATTCCAGGTAGGGCTGCTGCAACCCGACGAAACAGCTAGGACGAGTGGAAGGAAAGGAGGAGGGAAGAGAGGAGAGGAGATATGGGAGAGTTAGGTAGCGTCATTCACAGTCCCCTAAATGTGTGTATATGTGCAGAGTAAAATAATTTAACTTCTTAGGTGAAGCTACTATTTCCTGCCTTTATACATTAACATAACCTGACATAGACTTTAAAAGCTAACAAGCACTTACTGTATGAGTACTCTGTTGGACAAAAATAGTCTGCATTGGATAAGAATTATTGAAAAAAATGAAAATAAATATACAAATAATTGCTCTTTACATGATTGCATATTATTATTATGGTTATAATAGATTATTATTGTTGATGCATCCATATGTAAGTAGCATTACATGTATGCAGTTGGACTTGTATTATGCAAACATTAGTGAACTAACTTGAACTATTATATACAATGTATATGTTTGTGAAATATCCTCAGCTGTCACGTAAATTTAACCACTTATTTGTATTAGTAATGTTCAGAGTCATAAATTAGAAATTCTTCAGTAAAGGACAAGCACGACAAAGGTAGATTCTAGCATTGATTGGTGGAGTTTGTTCAGACTGCCTCTCATCCCTGGGTGCACCCTCAATTCAATCACCTTGGAGGGACACAAGAATGGCAGAGAAGCTGAGCAACACTGACACCCAAAATGCAGTGAAATATGGTGAAACAGCAGGAATCACCTGTTTGACATTGCAGCCCGTCTTGGCACTGGTCTCAATGAACATGACGTTCAGCTCTTTGGCTCTTTGCTCGCCTTCTTCGATCATGATTTGCCTGCAGGAAAAATCACGCCAGACTCCACGTCACGACTTTAAGGGCTAATCCTTTCGCTACTGACATGTTGCTTTTCTGCTGAAAATTGTTGCAGCTACATATAGCAGACAAAAATGACGGTATATTTGACAAACTCACCTCTTCTCTTCCAGATCGGTTTTGTTGCCTACAAGCATAATGATGACATCACTTCCTCTCTCTGTCCTTACATCATCAATCCATTTGCAGGTCTGCTGGAACGAGTTCACATCTGTGGAGACCACACTCTTTTTGTGTTAAAGTCCAATAAACAAATTGTATTTCTTCACTGCATTTCAAAACATAAAGCACAGCTACAGCACAATAAGCATGTTGCTGCTCACTTGTGATGTCATAGACAACCACAGCGACTGTAGAGTCCCTTATGTAGCTGGGGATGAGGCTCCTGAAACGCTCCTGTCCGGCAGTATCCCACAGCTGCAGCCTTACCTGCATTCACACAGAGAAGAAACATGCACTTTCAGCAGCTGTTTCCACATTGCCCATCATACTACACACAGAGTATACAGATGTTTGGGCCTTGTAAGTACACACCCAGAGGGATAAGCCAGTATCAGTGTGTGCAGGCTTACAGAACATAATATCCTGACAGAAAAATAGCATTAAAACTAGGTAGAGTCAATCATCTGTGGGAAAGGCTTTGACTCCTTAAGCCTACACACCAAAGCTATTACTAGCAGAAATAACCAAAGGATAATCGTGTCAGTCTGTGAAGAGAGCAGTAATTAAGCTAATCAAATCAAGGATTAGTGAAAACAGACTGGAAATTGGGACATTTCTTACTGAGGGTGTTACTGGTTAAATATGATATGAGAACGACGACATTAACTATTCTTTAGGGAATTATCTTCAAGTGAACTCAAAATAGAAATATAGTTTTCTTACTGTTCTGTCTTCCAGGTACATGGTCTTTGATAGGAAGTCTATTCCAATGGTGGCCTGTGGGAGAGAAAGAACATACGAAGGGGAAATCATAAATAGTACCCAGACTTGAAAGTCCAATATGTCTGTGCACCTTTTGTTGATCCTTCCTGACTGACTGTTGTTTAAATCAAATAAAATACAAAAAATGTGTTTAAAACAGAAACAGAGCCAATCAGTAATAAAAGTGAATCAGACTGTAACCTGTTTGTCATTTATATCAACCTTAGGGGTCAATCCTTCAGACCTGTTTTGGACCTAACTTATTTTTGAGCCTAACAATGCTCTACCACTTTTACCTTTTGATAATTATATTGATGACATTTAACTTTTGACCTGTCAATGCAAACTTATTCATACCAACCCAGATAGAAGCAATGTGTGGTCAAAAATGTGATATAATCACCACGGAGGGCTTGATGTGTTATATTTTGTATAAACTTGTGTAATTACTTCCAGTTTTTCCACTCATGTTAATCTTACATTGGAGGATGACTGGTAAGGAAACTGTTCATTCCATTCTAATGACAGTATTAAAGGTAATCAGTCATGATAGCATGCATTCAATTCTTCCAAATCCATCTCACTTTTCAGAACGATCTGATTCACTTACCTGATATGTGTTGTCGAAGCTGTCATACATGAATCTAGTGATGAGAGACGTCTTCCCCACTGGAATAAAAAGATCAGAGGTTGATTTCAAGTTAAGTGTTACTTCCAGGACTCTCTATCAATAATTCCTCATAAAGACATGACAGTATGTATCCACTGTATTCCTCAGTGTGACAAAGTGACAAGTCGAGAATTTTCAATCTGGCACTGTAACCATCATAATCACACAAACTAAAGAACACCAATAAGCCATCTTGATAACCTTACAAATAAAAAAGCAGATCTTTAATAGAGAAGAAATTAAGAAGAAAGAAATGAAAGAGAGTATACCCACAGCTTTGTTTCTCAAGATGTAATTTCTCAACATCTAACATTTGTTGTAATAAATCCAGGAATTACGTGAAATCCATCTTCTCTCTTCTTCAAAGTTTCATTGCAAATAAAGATAACAAAAGTGGTTTTCATTACCTACTCTTAAGAAAAATAAAGAATACATAATCAAGATGTAGAAATGATAAAACAAGATCATCAGTATGTGACGAGGATTCAGCAAAAGCATGTAAACAAATTATTTTTGTGGCACACTGCTACACGAGTACATGCTGAACATTACAAACATACATGACAGATGTGATGAGATACTAACTGGAAAAGCACAAAAGTTTAAAAAGTGTTCTTCTCTTTTAGAGCTGCAAATTATCTTAATGACACCACACATTTTTTAAATTCCTTTTGAAACATGAGAGAAAAGCTGCATATGCTTCCAAAGAGGAATGTTTGACATTTCCTCGCAGTTTAAATATTCAAACACTTATAATATACATTCCTTCTTCTTGTAGGATAGATTTTGGTATTTTTTTCCTATTAAGTTTCTTTTTAAGCTTCAGTGCATCCCAAAAGTTTTGAGCATTTGAATGCCAATTTAGGGAAGCTAAGTGCGAACCTCACTGGTGCTAAAAACCCCCCTGCAGTTACTGGCATTGTTCCTGATTGTTATGTACGAGTCTCTAAATATGAATAAATTAAGACTGAAAATGATCGATCTTCTGTTGACCGCTGATCTAAATAAGCACTGATTTAGCTCGCTATCTTTTGTTGATGGAGGAAGACATGTTACTAAAAGACAAACATAAAAGCAAAGTCATGTCCCAAAATATTCTGTGTTCACTAAAAATGTCATCCTGAGGTTAATTTACTTAACAGTGTAATATTTAGCTGTGATCACAAGCTCAATGTTGACTTCTGAGAGCGTCAAGGTGAGGTCTTTTCTCATCGCTATTCTTGTTTGGTGCTCATCTTAAGCTCCATTTTACATCTGATCACACTCATGAGGAGGGACACGGGGACTCTTTGAGCAGGCCTCAGTCTCACGTGCAGAATCCTGTATGCAGGCAGCAGAATCGTCCTGAATCCAACCATGGGCAGTGGCCACAGTAGGCCTCCATTCAGCACCATGGACAGCAACATTGCAGCACAGGCCACACACACACACACACACACACACACACACACACAGACAGGGAGGACTGTAGTGGAAACACAGCCTTTCTAGGCTACAACACACACGCACACACTGAAGCATCACAATGAAGACACAAACAGTGTCGCCTGATTGTGTGTTTGTTTTCTGCTGCTGTTTTCAATGGGGGATGTTCACCTCTGCTGCTACTTTGGATGTCTGATGTCTGAACACGTATTCAGGCGGCTTCACAGCGCTAAACCATTATCGATCTGCTCCTCCCGAATTGTGCCATTACATCAAATCACACACAAACACAAACACACACACACACACACACACGTACATACACGGTTCCTCCTGAACGGATGGATTATTGAATAAAAAGTAGAACGACGTGGCATTGTCAGTTTTATTTGATAATTCATGGGACCGGGCCGGAAACTGCGAGCTTTTAGAGATGCTACCGACATCGCCAGCCTAGGGTGTGTCCCGACCTGACACATGGGGGACTGTTTATTATCTCATCCGTTAAAAACTGAATCACGAATGATGGTGAAAATGATAGAGACATGTTAAAGAATATAGGATGGCTAATGGAAGATATAAGCGATTTCAGTCAAATAAAAACCTCATATGAAAACAGGCTGAGTATATTTGTCGGTCACTGCAGCACATCAAAACATCCGAATTCATATCGGCTGCTATGCACGTTATGACGATTTGCGACAATTGAACAAACATCCAGTATATTCAATAACATGTACACTGATTTACACTGATTAATATCGTTATTAAGAAGCAATTCGGCGGAATGTAGCCTATATGCATGCGTTTTTGTTTTTTTAATCCAGGTTTTTTTCCTTCTCCCGTTAATCAAATTTCCTTGCAACATAATGTGCCAAGAGCTACATGGGCGTCAATTCAACCACAGCCAGCTTGCTCATCTTTGAGATTCAAACACAACTTTTACAACCAACACGGATTACATACATGGCCTTCAAAATATACGCATGTTTGGCCAGCGTTATGGGAGGAGGATAACACCCCAACAACTGACTCACCGCTCTGCTCTCCCAAAAACACGAGTTTGAATTTCCTCAGGGGGTTCCCCAAATCTCCTCCAGCTGACATGGTGGCAGATAAAGAGCTCAACTCGGATTATTTTTATATGTTCTTATCGCTCGGTTTCTCCTCCGTCGTGGATGCGCAGGGGGATCCTCCTCTCCTCACAGAATGATGGGAATGCAGCTAAGCATCCTCCTGTCAATTTAGGGGGCTTGTGCGCATGCGCGACCTCACCTATTACAATCCGTCACCTTTCTTTTAGGACCTGAAACAAAATATTTTTTTCTCATAGGTATAAGATATCGAAAACATGCATGAGCAGTAATGAAATATGGTATATGTTTGACTGACACTATCTGCAATTCCCAAGTGGGAAAAAGCAAGTTTTCAAAAATCGGAAAGCCTGTACGTTTCTTGTCTTATAAGACATTATAGGGGGATACAATATTACAACATATTTCATTATAATTAAAACAGCATCTTTTCAATTATGGAATTTAGTTAAACATTTGTTGGGCTCTTAACACTCTTCCAATGGCTACAACTAATTTCACTCAACCTTTTTAGACAAGTTATATTCAGAAGATTCAAATCCCGTCTGCTCCATTCTTTTTTATTTCTAAACACACCCATTAGTAAATGTACAGTGTATGCTTAAAGCCTTGATCAAGCTTTGACTTTTAGATTCCACACATCAAACCAGCTATTCATCGTTCATCGTTTTGACAATATTTTGCACGCTTCCTACTATTCATCAACAACTATTTTCACAGCCATTAAAGCAAGCTTCTCAATTAAGCATCTGCTTTCCAACAAACACCTTTATTATTGGTACCATTTAACTAACTCTCCATTAACATTGCAATTACTTTAAAATGCCTTCTCAAGTAAGTCTGCAATGGTAATACATTAATAATGCCTCCTCAAAAGTATGTTACAACACTGATCATTTAGCCAAACTATATACACCAACACATTTTCATTTTGTGCAAAAACATGAAATACACCTTGCTATTGCTCAAAATCAAACAGCTCGGCCTCCTTCTCCTTCCAGAACGTGAAGCTGCGGTCAATGTATTTACAAATGTCTTCATTGTTGAAACAGGAGAAGTCTGTGTCACCTCCATTCTCATCTGAAGTAGCAGTTTGAACTACTACTTTGGGTACAAGTGTGGAACTTGATGATTGGGATGGACAGTGCGGTTTGGCGTCTCCAAAGAAGCGAACGCTGATGTCCTCGAAGCCGCTGCTCCACTGTCGCCTCTCAGCTTGGATCTCCTGGAGAACAGCCTTGTGGAAGTCCCTCACCATCTCCCAAGGGAAACTGCCGACGCGGTCAAAGACTTCAAAGCAGAGGAGGTGCCTCATCTTCCTCTCCTCGGGTGACAGCTCTTGCTCCAGGATGTGAAAGTATCCCAGCATGAAGAGGTCAAGCGTCAGGCTATCGTGGGTCACTGCAACACCATCGACATCTGGCAGAAATTGCTCCGGAGAGTAGATCCCTCGAAGTGGTGGATTTTGGGAAGAGTTAGAGGAGGACAAATGCGACTTTTGTGCATCTTTAAGTTCTAGTTTAACCCTCCAGGAGTTGAGCATCTTGTCCACAGCACCTCTTTGTTTGCAGAACTGAAACATGGAGGGGATTTTCTCTGAGGTTGAAGCTTCTGTTTCCCTCCCAGCAACTAATTTCTGTCCTTGTCCCTGCTTGGCTGCTCTCACTGAAATAGCATATGCAGATTTCTTCCAGTGGCTCAGGAACAGCACCACTATACGCTCTTTTCTTAAACTAGTACTCTCCATCACAGGTATGACATTTTTAGAAGGATAATGTTTATCCTCACAGTGGAGGACTGTGTTGGTGTTCTGTTTCTTAACTCCTGATGCTCCAAGTGCTACTTGGCCTCCTTTCACAACCCCAGCAAAGGGATAGATACCCCCAATCTGACCTTCAAAATTAGTTCGGAGATTTCTGACTGACACCCCAGACTGTTGGATCTCTCTCTCTATCCTCTCCCTGCGTGCTCTGCTGTAGCTGTTGGTCTCCAGGCGATGGCTAAAAGCTGACGCCATTCCTATATGAGGAATTTTACATCCACTAGAGGTTTCCCCATGTGTTGGCACTGTCTCTCCCATCAATTCCTGCTCTAAGTAAAATCCTAAACTGTCTCTTACCCCCTGCAAACCCTTCATCTCCTCCTTCATGCCTTTAACTATCCCCATCTCGCCCCCTTCTTCTGTGGTTTGAGTCAGATTAGAGACCAGCTGTGACATATTCTTGACAATCTCAGAGACACGGCTGCACCACACTGGCAAAGTCAATTGCATTTTCCCCGCATCCATCTGCTGTAGAACCTCTTTATTGAGGGAGATGTTTAGAATCTGCTCAGGTAAAATGGATCTCAGCTCCTCGGTCAGCCTGGTAAGCTCCAGCTCGTAGGCCTGGCAGCGCTTCTGCAGCGAAACAGTCTCAATCTGCTGTTGAAGATACACCAAGTCATCCTCTGTTAGGAGCTCACCAAAGGGCCCCAAGACTGCGTTGTGGGCTTGTGAGTACTTCCAACCATCCACTGGTGTGCAGTCATCAGGGATGTCCTATTAGAGGGGCAGAGAAATGTTAGCATTTAACCGGAGCAAGTTTGCTGTTAAATGAAAGATTCACAGTTTTGCACTCTTGCCATGAGATAGAGAAGAAGACACATTGCATTTACACTGGCTGTTCTGTGCTGGACGTTTTGCTAAAAGGGTGAACTGTTTTGTCTTGTCATTGTCAGGATAGAACGTAGTGCTCAAAAACAGGAAATGGTCATAGAACCCCTTATAACATTATAATTTAGCTTTGTTTTTTGTAGACTTTGAAAAGATGAAATCAAAGTGAAAGTATTTGATCTGCTGTCATCCCGAATGGGAAATAAGTAGTTACATCCCATTGAAACCACCATAATGAGATCCTCCCCTCATTTCATGAATATTCTTCATTTCAAGAATATATCAACAGTTTCTACGTCTTCTAACTCTGTTAAATATGAATGTGTGCACAGCAAATATAAATTCATACAGAACATAATGTACAAAGTTATGTTGGGCACCTGTCTCCTCTGCTCCTCCTCTGCCTGCAGCCTGACCTGCAGCTGCCGCACCATCACCTGTCGTTTCCACTCCGCTATGGGCCGGCCTGCTTCATCGTGGGTCGGCACCAGGGAGTCGATGTCGGCCAAAATCACATCTACTATTGACACTTCCTCCAATAGATCCTCACTGTCCAGCTTCTGTCAGAGTTCAGCAGGCAGGTACACCACACTTTTTAATAATTGCTTCTTTCCTATTCTGCAGGCCTTATGCACTTTTTGCATTGTTTTATAAATATCTTAGAGTCTGTGTCAGCCACTCACCGCTTGTCCAGTGAAGACTGCAGTGATGCCAGCGTGTCTCAGAGACTTTATAGACTTCATGTGAGACATCAGGCTGAGATCCCTCTCTGGAGGCTTCAGATGACTGAACGATGACACCACTGGAAACAAAATCCAAAGGTCACTGATTCAGTTTTAAAATGTGACTATTTTATTATAAAGAAAGGGTAAATTAAATACGACTTGTTTAATTTTTAACAAATGTGCTCAATGTTGGTTATTTCCACTCTGTGAAACCTCTGGAGCTTTTCATGATTTTTACAATTCAGAAAACCAATCAACAATCCACGCTGTTTTAAAAAATCCTGTGGTTTGGAAAGCAGAGAGAGTCAAGACATGTTCAAGTCTCGTAACATTGTCCCATCCCATGTGCACTTAAGTTAGTCTGTGGTCCTTTTCTGGCACACAGCAGCAGTGATTGAACACAAATAACCCTGCACCCGCTATTCACTAACAAAAGAAGGATATACCGACTGTGCCCCTTAAAACTTCATAAATCTTCATAAAATCATAAATGTGTTACATTGCTTCTAGAGGCAGATGTTTTATTTTTTCCTAAATTCATTTTGTAAGTTATTTTTTTTATGGTGATGTTATTCATTTCTTAGTTTCTTTTAATGTTGAATCATTATATTTTGTTTCACATATGTTCTGTTTAATATTATGTTTAATACACGACAGGCGGCACCAACTATCAAAGGTACTTCTAAATACCACATGCATCCCTAATTAATGCACATCATGAGATGGCAGTAAGTGGTGTCTGCATTAATCACCTGAGGATGCCACCTGCACATGCTGGATAGAGCCTGTGGTGTGTCCTTTTAAAGAGGCAGCAGGACAGGATGAGGTCACAGGGAGTGAGGAAGGGTGTCGAGGCAGGGGGAGCACCTCCTTCACTGGCTGCTAGGGACACACAAAACCACAAACACACACACACACACACACACACACACACACACACACACACACACACACACACACAGGACTGAGCCATGCCCAAAGCCAAAGGAACAGTTCAACATTTTTCCTGACTTACTAAAAATATGTTTTGCTGTTGAGTGGACAACATTGTACTGTAGTCTTGTGATATCAAAGTATGTAGCACTTGCAGTGTAGGCTCTTAACTGGAACACTGTTCATCATTGCCCCTATTAAAAAAACTAATATCTAAAAAGCTTCAAAGCTTGTCTTGTAGGCACAGATATGTATTTGTGTTTTGTTATCTAGAAAAGTTTGTGTGCAGAGTAAGGGGGTCAAATGAGTGAGAGAGAAAACATAAATGATTTAAAAAAGAAAAAGAAATGAAAAATAAGTTGTTAATAGTTCTTTACAAGGGGTATACGTATATAGCTATTAATAATTAATATAAGCGAATGTCATAATTGACAGGTTAAAATATCGCACTGTCCCTGCACTTATATGTTGATCACCTTGCTGTTCTCCATGTTGGCTCTGTTGTTCGCAGTCTGGAGCTTGGCAGCAACAGGAGCTCCTCTGCCGGACAAAATACTGTAACATCAAGTGTAAGAAATGATTAATAAAAAAAACATCCGGAGAGATACATTACAGAGAGTGACACACAGCAGCTAACTATTTAAAGTGATCCTATAAGAAACTTAATAGACCCCCTTGATGACACAGTCACAGACACACACACACACACATCCACACACACTATGTAAAGATGGTAGTACTTTGAACCCAAACAAGAAGTGGTGGAACAGGACCCCGGGCAGTCGAGGCAGCGTAGCCCACACAGAGAACAGGAGAAAGTGTAGAGCGACATGATATCCTCCTTACTGATTCACAAGCTGCATGCCATTCAATAGCCTGATAGTACACCAACAATGCCTGTATGTCTCCAAGTAATTGATAACCGCAGTGAAAGAAGGTATGTAATTTGTGAAGGTATAAAAAGAGTTCATGTTAAGTACTTTAACCATCTAATGTTTTATTCCACCTAAAGTCCAGGGGAGGCATATGGAACACATTTGACCTCTATGTACATTTAATGCAATATATTCAGTAAATGTATACATCCACTGAAATACTGTTATTTCACCTTTCACTGGTGTTTGTATAGCATTTACTTGTCGCATTTTTACTGTTTTGTTTACTGCCTTTCTTTGCAATAAGCCACAAAAACGAGATTTTCATACATTTATCAGTCTGATAAGGTAAATTTATATCATCATCCATCCAAAATACAAATGTCAAAATGACGTCCAAGTTTAATTATAAAACCTGTTACATAAAGACCAACTCTGCAAACAGCTCACTATAGAATAGACCATGTACCAATATTTTATATTTTACGTCTTTATATTCCATTCTCTTGGTTCATTATTTACATTTACTGTCATTGGATCGGGTATATCTGATCCAGTAAGCATAATTCAGATCCACAGTATGCAAGCTGTACTTACAATAGGTTCCTGAAAGTGTGGAATAAACGACGCTACAGTGGATGACCTGAAAATATAAAATAAAAAGGTGGGAAAAGAATAAAAACTAAGTGAGAAAATCCAGAGGGTGTTGTCTCTTTGATCTAAAGCAGCCAATAAAGAGTAAGACCAAGGAGCAGCATCATCTGTACACACCTCAGATGGGGGCCCCACTTACTGTGCATAATTAAAGAAGGTGGATTGGATGACCAGCACCTGGAAGTATAGAACAATAGCTCTGTAAATGTATGTAGAAGCCATCTAGGCTGTAGGCTGGTATGCATGTGTCTGTATGTGTGTGAGCTAGAACTGCTGCTCTGTGTGCACAGTTCTGTGTTAGTTTGAACACACTTATGACACAAGATGACAGACACACACCACATCCTTGTTGCTTGTAGGAACCAGTCCTGGCACAGTTCCATAGCATGGGTTTATTATTAAGACTGGGAGACATTGTTGCTGCTCTGGCCTGCTTTCAAATGATCAAAGTGTCTACTCTTGGTATTGCAGCAAAGGATATTCTGCAGTCCAGACAGCATTGTCTTCGTATGTCAACAATTAAAAAGATGTCTGTAAAACTATGAACATCACATCTCAGACCTGCAAACAAGGTTAACTCTGTTTTCCCATCTGTAGAGTTCCTTTTTTTCTCAAATTTCCTTCAAAATGTCCTTTGTTGAAAATGATGATGTCATCCCAATATAAAGTCCAGGGCTGGTGACATTGCTGAATGGCTGAAATTATTCCAGTTTATATGTCTACACAAGGTTGGATCACAAGTTGTATTTATTTTACATTACACGTTAATGGTAAGAAGAAGTTCAAATCCCAGCTAGAGACTTTAAAATGCAGGAATGATACGCCTTTATCTGACTGGAGTCTGGGCTATGCTTTTCAATTATAATAACCTAAAATATAGAGACCACAGAGCCGGCACTCGGCTCAAATCCCATGATGGGTTTCTCTTGTGGAGCTTGAATATTCTGGCGTCCTCACTACTGGGGATTTGACCACGTCTTTAAATTACCACAATGTACTCCGAAGTGGAAAGACCCTAATAAGTCAGCGATGTGAGGCGGCATGTTAGTGTGTTGGTTAGCACTGACACCTCATTGCAAACTTGCATTAAGTTTGAATCTCTGCAGGGGCCTTTCCTGTGTGGAGCTAAAAGTGTTTGGCTTCCTCCCAATAGGGTGTGGACCTTGCTTATCCGAACATAATGTAGTGGAAAGTAAGTCTTACAAATCAGTGTTAAAGGTTTGCACTGCCACCTCACAGAAAGCAGGCGCCAACGCTTTTGGTCTTCAATAGTGAACTGATAACTAAATAAACCCAAACTGGCAGTTTAGACACGGACAGTTGGACAGCGGTGTGGTGGCTAGGCCTGCTGACTCACAGAAAGATGGTCAAACGTTCAATCCCCGATGGAGACTTTCCATGTGATGCAGCCTTCCTCTCACTTGCGTCCCGGCTATGCTTTTCCATCACCGTAATAAACTGGAGAATATATGGACCAAAAAAGGTAAGCACTGCAAGTGAGAAGGGTATTGTGGGGGTGAGGTTGTTAATTCTGTCAAAGGTAGATCATTACGCCCGCTGAGATAGCCCATTCTGTCAGGTTTAGTTTAGTCAGTTAATCTTCATAATGAATGCTTATCAAGAATAAAGAATAAAACAAAAGCGAGAAACAAAACTGGACCAAAAAGGTGTAGGCTGAAGCCTTAGCTTATTACTCCTACCCTTTTTACATTCATTTTTTATCAGCTACATTTAACTTTATACAGAGCAGTAAAAGAAAGTAACACAAACTAAGTAAGCAAGTAGCCCTAAGGTCCTAAAATTTAAAACTAATTACATACACTCTGTTGTTTATACTTCACTTTTATATTTGATGATCATCATGTGTTTAAATACATTTTGATATCTTTTGAGGGTATTACACTCTTTTATCTCCGTTTCAAAGCCATTCCACAAGTTCACTCCGTACATACCTTTTTGTTTTACATTTGTTCTAGTCTTTGTTTTTGAGAAACACGCATTTCCCTCTCAGTTCATACAGATATTATTTTAATTGAAACAGCCTCTGAATGCATTCTGGTAAAATGTTATAGTATGCTTTGTACATCAGTGATGCTTACATAAAATACAATTTCATTAAATTTGAGTGCCTGTGAATTTATGAATAATTTGTTCGTCACGATTGTTCACGATAATCAGCTCTGTTCTGATCTGATCTAATGGCACTCTTTTGAAGCAAAAAAATATGATTTGTAATTATTTTATGTGTTTTTCCCTCAGACCTCCACCTAGTAAGTAAGAAATAAATGGAAGTATGAAGGAATTGTACAATATATGTAAAGAATGTAGGTTAAAAACGTCATTCAAATCAAAAGACATTCTTAACCTAAATTCTTTACATATATTGTATAATTCCTTCATACTTCCGAGCACTGACCCTTGTGGGTTCGATATTGTGATGGACTTTGATAATTTGGTTTTAATATAATTAACATGGGTATAGTCACAGCATAGTTTGTGATCTATAACAACTCTTGTATTAAATATTGTTGTAAGCGCTTCTTTTTCAATGTAATCAATCTTTGTATGTGGTTATTGATTTTCCGATGTCAAAATGTCATATATTTAGTATTAATTAAATTGAATGACAACTTGTTAATGTTGAACCATCATTTTAAAAATTGTGTATCAACTGTATCCAGAAGCTGCTCAAGTTGTTTTATCAGAACAAAACAAATTTGTATCATCAGCAAACAGAACAAAATTAAACAATTAGGGCGCACAACAAATATAGTTTATGTACAATATAAACTAATTTGGAACAAGCACTGACCCTTGTGGGACCCCACATGTAACCCTCAACAAGTTGGACTTGTTGCTGTTTTTTTGCAAGTATTGATTTCTATTTTCTGACCCACTCCTCTTTTCCCATATCTTTCATTAGTAATAGTCCTTGGTCAATCGTGTAAAATGCTTTTTATTGTTAGATCAATGAAAACGCTTATTGTATATTCTCTATAGTCTGTTTCTGTTGAAATTTGTTCAATCAGCTCCATCACCAAAAGCTCATTCTCTCAGGTAAGGCTTTTGATAACTGACACTCCATCTTTTTAAGGTCATGGTTTCTATTAGTTCATGTTTGCGCTTCAAGGGCGGACAGTGGTGGTTAGAATTGTAGTTTTACAGCAAGATGGTTCTGGGTTTGAATCCAGTCAAGGGAGAGTGTGGAGGAGTTCAGGGAAAGTACTCTCTCCACCCCTGAAAGGGTAGAAAGGGCTCAAATGCTTTTGTACTGAACTTCTGCCTTCAAGCTGCTAATCCTATCAACTCAGGGGTCTTACAAACAGCTATCATCTCACAGCTTTTCAAATTATCGGCAGCTGAAAAAAAGGGGGTACCAGAAGGACATCAAGTACCGCTCACTCAGTCCAGGGCCTTTGTGTCAGGCTCAGTATTTCTGACTGTTATTAGGGGATTAGTCTGCTGCAGCTGAGGACATGCTGAGTACATAATCAATAATGGAAGGCTGCACAAACGCACAACAGTCTCACCGTGTTCACCTTGGGCAAACGTACCAACTGTTATGCAACAGACATGAGAAGAGCATTATGTTATTCATTCCTGAATCTGCTCTGTGAGCACACACACTTGTTTTTCTCTCTTTAAACACTGAACATGAGGACACAGGCTGAGCACAGATCCTCTTTAAGTTCACATTATCACGTGTCTGTCAACCCTAAATTATAATGTGCTGAGCCTGGAGAAGTTGTCACACCAACTCAGGATCCTGCCTTGACCTGTGACAAACTCTTTATCTTTAGTTTATTTACATTTATATCAAAAACTTTGTATTATAGCTAAAAGTGCTTATGACTAAGGTTATTATATATGTTATAAATTATAACCTTCAGAGAACAGAATTCAAAGCATGCTTCAAAAACTGGTTATGGATTAAGTCGTCCTATTCTTTATATGAACTAAAGGACATTTTAAAGTTTGACACACGTCCTATCGAGAAAGACAGGATTCCTCATTTCTTATTATAATCAATTGTGAGAAATATTACCATCACATAGCCAGTATTCTTTTTATGACATATTCCGTGTTGATATCAGGTACATTTGCAGTATTGTGGATTAATGAGACAATACAAAAACCAGCAGACCAACTATGGTTGACATTCTGTACAATAGTGGTGCAAACATGTAACCAGCATCAAAAATGCAAACATATTGTATGTAATGCCTTTATACCACATGACGTTTCATTTGAATGAACTGTACATACTTTGTAATGAAAATCATAAATAACAGAAGTTAGTGAAGGCTACAAACAAATCACATTAAGATGTTGCTTAAGTTTCAACACTCATTTATTGATTCGCCTTGTTTTTTTTTTCCTGACAACTTTTGTTACGTGTCCACAGACATGAGAAAGAACTCGAAACACTCAAAAGAGAAACGTGAGCACTGAGATTAAGACTTCATCACAGGCTGGGACCTGGTTCAGCTTCTGTCAAAGCAGCCCAGAGCAACAAGCAGACGTGGGACCACCTACTCATCAGTCTAATGACCACCTCATCCACACTGAGCTCAAAATGTGCAAAACTGATCCCCTGATCAGCGTGCTTTGCTCTGGAGTTGACACTTAACGAAGCAGCAGGCCATGTTTTCTTATTCATTATGGTATACACAGGAAGAGAGAGAGAGTTAATATCATCTGTGTGATGAGAGCCGGCACAGAAAATCTCAATTTATATACAATACAGAGCCAAGAGGAAGGTTTCCAGTTAGTCATTACAAGGATCATGGATGACGATACTTTACAAGCAGCACTCTGGGAGGGGTGGGGGGCAGGGGTAGGGGCTGTTGTCAGTAGCAAGCTATAAGGCAGGAGAGAGGGACAGCAGAAGATAAGTGGACCTGCATGCTTTGATCCAGAGCTATGACAGTAAAAAAGCAGCCAAAATTGTGATAACTCATTAACCTTTTTGACAATTACTGTTAAGTGCACTAAAGCTGTCTCACTTAGGGGTTTTTCTTTCCTCTTTTGAAACTTATTCCTTTGAACTATTAGGACTGGAAGCAAAGCAAGTCATCTGCAAGTTTTACACACAAAATAAAACGCTAACTTGTACTGTGTTGTTGGGGGTTTGATAGCTTAAGTATCTTATCATCTCCTCTGTAGGACAGGGTTGTAATAAGTTGATACATGGACCACCTTTTCCATTACATTCTTAAAATATCTTCATATAAAATCATAGTAAATAAAGATGCTTTGTGCGTAAGTGCGATATCCTTTACAAACATAATCCATCCTTCAAAAAGGTATAAATAAATTCTACATTTGTCTTCTGTTCCAGCAGACAAATGGCAGAATATGTTAAGTATGCATTTAAAAAAAAAAAACAAATAAAGTGGATTATACCAAGATGGCACGAAATGTTTAGTAATAATCAACTCATCTCATGTCATCGCTAATGGGCAGAATATGGTTACAAATCACAGGGGCTACAACAGATTGAAGGTTAAATGTCTGATGTTCTGAGTATCAGGCTGCTTTGCTCAGCAGGTTGGTCGGCCTGTGGCGTAGAGAGTCCTGAATACATTCTTGAAAACTGAGTGTGAGGCAGGTTTCACAAACATTTCACCAGTAAAACTAAAAACAAGAGCAAAATGGGAAAGACAATATGGCTGGCTAACCATGTCTTTGATTTGAACTTTATAAAGAGAGTACCAGTTTTTAAAAAGGCCCACTGTTAGCAGTCCTTTAGCAAGGCTGAATTTAGTTTAATTCACCATAGTGGTAATGTTGATTTCAAAACAACATTTGGGGTCATCTTGGTACAGTGCAAAACAAAAAACAGTTGGTTAAAGCAATTACAAACCATCCCTGGACATAAGAGTCGTATAATCTGCAAAGCTACCATACCGTACTGATTTGTGACACAAGCATTAGGCTGTCAAATATCGAGCAGCTACAGTACAAAAGCTAAGGGGGGATTCGTTTTCAAAGCCACAGTCAATGATTATGAGATATGTATATGCTGTACTCTACTGCTATAGGCTATACCAACATACTATATAGCATCATTGATAATATTCACTCTAAAACATTGATCATCAATATAAAGAACAGAACTCTAGCATCTACTTTTACTCTACATAAAGGCTTAATGTTAGACACATGTTGCCAACTTTAGTGTTAATGTCGAAGACAAAAAATGATGACAGAGGGAGAGATTAAAAAGAAGTAAAAAGAGGGAGGCACTATCTGGTGCATGGACAACGTACTTGTCCATTCAAAGCAAGTCACACAGATTACAGGTCCATGGTAAATTATAACTTCTCGTTCAGCTCGACAAGACTTAAATACAAGACGAAATAAATGAAGCAACTCTGCCGGCCCATAACATACAGAATAAAAACACATTTGTTTAAAGTAGTCTAAATACAGAGTGCAGCTGT